TGGGAGGACCAACAATTTAAAGCCGTCATCGCATGAAAAATGGCGGAAAACCGTTTTTATAGTTCTTTAAATAATGCTCGGACCAGAGATCGAACCCAGGTCCTACAGAGTGTTAGTACGCACCCCTACCCACTCGGCTACCGAGCCTCCAGATGCATACTTTGAATTAAACAATTTTCAGCTTTTAGAGGATTTTTTCTCCAGCAGCAGCCATATTCTGGACGTCACTCTTACAAGCCAGCTATGAAAATTCTTGAAACGAAAACCTATTGGGGGCGAAATCATAATTTTTTGTGCGACAGGGGTGGTTCAGAGCAAACTTTGGGAGACATTCGACCAACTCGTCAACAATAGACTTTAGACCCCGAAAAATTGCTAGATTGCACAAAATTGCAAACCCAAATTGAGTGGAGCAAAAAGTAGCCCACTATTTTTTTAAACTGCGATTTAGCTTTTTTTTCTGATTAAATATTTCTTTGCTTTGCAAAAGCCTGTAGAATAATTCGTTGGAATCCTGGTCTTTTTTCTTTCGCTTAATCACCAAATACATACTCTACTCTGTTTTCTTGCGCCTTAAAAAAATTACTTGATTGAGGTAACTGAATAAAATATTTAAATGGATTTTCAGTGTATTTTTGGTTTAGTAATTTTCAATTTATTTTAAAGCGGATTTCCGCCTGTCAGCGTAAAAACAATCTCACAGCAATGCTTGTCTGCCGTCAACAAATGCATCCGCGTGAATACTTTTTACACATTCCCCTTACATAATACTTTCAAAGTAAATCACCGTAAATGTGGTGGCCAGCGGATTCTAATTTATTTATGCAAAGGCTTTAGTGCGAAATCCACGCAAATACAAAAAGAAGAAAATAAAAATGCATTCTTTCCCACAACGGTGTACTTGTAACTGAATGTGTGCATACATATAAATATACATACAGTGACTCAAGCAAATTTTTTTATATTCGTAATTTTTTCGGGGTAAATTTTTTTTTTGTTATTTTTTATAAAAATACCGTTCAAGTTTTAACCAAAACCATATAAGTCGCAGTTTCAGACTTTATATAAAACTTAGGAAAATTCAACAAATTTTCATCAAAATTTAGTTTTATTCAGTTTAATTCAGTTTTATAGCTTATACAATTTTAGTCTAATGAAGTGCAAGTTTCAAACGTTGATTTTCGAGAATTTGGGCGGATTTTTCATAGAAAAATAACGAAAAAAATAATTTAGCTCGAAAAACATTACGAATATTAAAAAATAAAAATAAAATAATCAACACGTGGTCATTTGTTTGAGTCACTGTATATAAATCTGTTAACCGACAATTGAATATCAAGATAAATAAATAATTTGGAAATTTTCTGCGGCGCATTTAACCAATCGCCTATTTGCAAAAAGTAATTCAAACATACATAATTATTATCGCACACATAATCAGCGCATTCACGCCATTTCATGCGGGTGCGGGTCAGTTTGGTTTCAAATAACAAATTTCAATGCTTATCACACACATGTATATAGACTGCATTCGTGTGAATTTGCAATTGGAAATTGGCGCACTGCATATTATTATGCAATTTTAAATTTGGAATTGCAAATTCGGGTATTATTGCATATTTTTTGTGTACTCGACCGTGAAGTTGATGATATCGAAATTATTCACATTCAATGATTTGGTTGAATTCCATATGTGATTACTTATAATGGTGTCACGCACGCAAACACAGACGCACACACTTAAATAATTGCCATTTCAATATGCATAGATACAATGAAAAAGTATTTAATTTATTTAGTATTTGTCACTACATATGAATGTATTTTCAAACATTTGTTTGGTTATTTCGATGCGAATTTTCACGAATTGGCAGGCGTATCGTTTACCTTCTCATGTCGTATACCTTAAATAATTTCACAATAAATTACCGCTAGTAGCATTAAATACATATGTATGTATGTACTATGAATGTTAATCCCGGGATAGAGAAGAAGTATGGGTTTAATTTGATACCCATACTTCTTCTCTATCCCGGGATTAACACCGGGAAATTCTGTAGAATTTAATCTGATTCAAGTTTTTGGTGCATAAGGACTGTTGCGTATTGAAAATGTCCTTTTAAAATTGTATCCTTGAAATTTCGCAATATTTGTTTTTGAAAAAAATATATCTTAAGGACTTATATAAACTCGATAGTATCCTCGAATTACGTCCTTCTAACTCTAACTTTATCAGCTTAAAAAATTACCTATTTGTCGTTGTGAATTAAAAAAAAAACTCTCTTTCATTTGGTACCCATATTTTTATTCTAAATTGCATTGAATCTTTGAAACAATTTTATATCCTTGAAATCACAAAGTCCTTTAAAATAAATCCTGACGTCAGAGAGAAAAACGTAAAAGCGCCATTTTAAATAAAAATGTAGGTTTCAAACCCATTTATTTATTATTTATTTTATGGTAGGAGAGATATGTAGACGCATTTTTTTCGATTTGATTTGTTGAAAAGTAATGAATATCTAAATCCCGGGACTAATTCCGGTATCCCGGGATTGTGATAACCACATCTCGAAAATCCACGGATCGTAAAAAGCGGAAAAATTAACATCCCTAGTATGTACTCTGATACATACATACATTACGTGTAGGAATGCAATAATTATGCATTATGCATTAATGGGAAAAATTAGGCCAACAATGCGGCCCACACACATACATACATACATACATACATACATACATACATACATAATTACGTATGCATTTGATTGTAATTGTCGGAAACAGTTTAGATGAAGGACTACATACATACATAGATATTTACATATATATGGTAAGCAATTAAATTGATACTGGAAAAAATTTAGATACATACACATACATATATATGTAGTTTGGTATGTATTTACAAGTTTTTTCTTAAATGCTATCTCGTTTTTCTTTGAAGTAAGTTTTTTCGAAAGACATATTTTAAACCATTGCTGATGCCTTAAACAAATTTGAAGCTTTAAAAATATAGATACTTTGTTTTCTAATTTCAGGCTAAAAACTTACTGATTTTTTTGAACCACTCGATTAATAGAGAAGTAGTGTGATTCGCTGGTATTACTGCCGTGGAACTCAGCTAAAGGTACTGCAAGTGTGGCAAATTGTTTTGTTGTAAAAATGCAATACGAGCACCAATAAACTGCATATCTCCAAGGACATTGCAATGCGAATAAAATACAACTTCGAGATAAAAGCAATGCGAGCTGACTTGCAAGCAAATGGACCAAGTTGCAAAACTACCAAAGCGGCTTTGCCTTGTTTAGCATCGTAAAAATGTTGTTATTGTGCATTGGAAAGTACTTAGCAAGTAATGTGCGTAGTTACTTTATCAAAGTCTATAAACATACATACATACATATGTAAGCGTGTGTGTGTATGTATCAATAGAAACGGTGGAATAAAAAATATATATCGAGTATTAAGTGGAAATAGTTTTGCAAGTGCAAAGTGCTGCCGTAAATAATATTAAAAAGTTGATGAAAAAGTGAAAAGAAAGCTGTTAAGAAAAAAGTATGCAAAAATAAATAAAATATGTGTGTGTGTGGCAAAATGTGAGCGAAGCTAAAATATGAAAAAATAAAGTGGGTTAAATAAAGTTAAAATAAAGATGCAAAAAGCAAAAAAAAAAAAACGGGTGGGAAAATTAGTGAGAAATGTGAGGTTAAGTTAAGTGTTTAGAAAGTGTAGCAATATAAAAAGTAACTGAAATAAAAGTCGAATATAATTTAAATTAAAAAATGTTAACAAAAAGAAAAATATCAAGAAAAGTATGCTTTAAAAAATTATATAGATACATGAAATATAAAAAGCTAAAACTAATTAAATGGGTTTTCATCATAATAAAAGGTGTTCCAAATATAAAAATGTGTGCAATTAAAATAAAGGCAAAAATGTTGAATAAAAGCAGGTTTAGAGTGAAATGATTAAGTTATAGGTAATATAAGATGAAAAAATAAATAGTATAGTAAAAATGGTATAAAAATTCGGCCATCTGGCGATTTTGGTAAGGTAAATAAATTGTTTTGATTATTGTTGAGTAGGTTAAAGAGATGATAAAAATAGATTTTCTGGGTCTCGGGAATCGCCGCCATATTGGAAAGAAGACTGTTAACGTTTTTCGCAATTTACGTAGAAACCGTTAAGTTTTTTCGTAAAAACTTAAGAATACTTTTTTGTTGGCGGAAAAAATCTAAATTTTTTGTTTTTTTTATTAGCACGCTAAATAATGACGCTAGAAAATAAGTCGGAAACAAAAAATGTTAATTTTTCTTCGGCCAACAAAAAGTATGTATTCTTATGTTTTGTTTTCGATAAAATGAACGGTATCGATGTTAATTGCGAAAAGACCCGCAAATCTATTTTAAGCATCTCCTTACCCCATTCAACAATAACCAAAACGGGGGTATATATTTCAATATAGCTCAATCTTTTTCTTTTCTTTTCACATGCATTTTTTGGACCCACCCTAATGTGTATTGGCTTTAAAGTGTGTCGGAACCTTTAGTTAGCTTTGACAACACATTTTGTTAACTTCGTCAATTTCACTTCAAAGTATTATTGTATACTATTGTCTAGATGATCATCTCAAAACGTACCCAAATGACGACGACAAATACATCGCCATTAATTTAAATTCAAATTTCCACAATTTTCTCGCACAATTATGCTTTGAAACATCTCTTAGCCCATTCCAATTGCCTAACTTATAACTCAACGCTAGAATTTGCCCATATACGAATAAAATGAAGAGAAAAATAAAACGTAAATACAAAATAATAAAATAAAAAAAGTGTGCTAAAAAGGAATATGTAGTAAAATAAAAAAAAAAAAAGAAATTCCGCAAAATTAAATAAAATTGTTAAATATGAATAAATTAAAAGGAGATGAAATAAAAATAAATTTAAATATCATGAATGAAATAAAATAATAAAAATATAAATTAATAAAAAAATAGTACATAACATGTTGTATACATGTAAAATATGATCGATTTTGAATAAATATATGAAATATGTGAAAATAGTTAAAAGCTAAAGAGGCAATCCGTAGCCTCTGAATAAAAGCTTTAAGAGGAAGCGATATAAAATAAAGAAAAGTGTTAAAAAATTAATTTAAAAAGTATTTGCAACGAGAAATCAAAAGTGCCAAAATGAAAATTGAGTCAAATCAAAATATTTAGCTTCAAATAAAATCATCAGAAAAAGTGCTGTAATGTTCCGGAAATGCATGCCTACATATACATATGTACGTGTACGTGTACATCACCGCAAAGAATAACTTCAATCAACTACGACAACTTTATTACCATCATGACTACAACACTCACAATGTTCAGTTGCCAGCAGCTAGCAGTAAACGGGTATAACGGATCTGCATCTGCAAGAAATATGGTAAGTACACATTAGATATTATTATTATATTTTTTATTAAAATTTACTATCATTTTGCATCAAAGTATTTCTTTTTCCCATTCTTTTCTTTTTTTTTTTTTTGAATTTGTTACGCGCTGTCGTGGCATTCTCTGCTCCCCGAAAAATATTCTACCTATTCTATCCTACTCATGCATAATTCCCGCAATGCTGTGCCCTTGGCAAATAGTCAGGCTTGACTAAAATTGTGCCGCAAAAACTTGCTTTAAAGCGTTTTCAAAATGCACACAAAATTTAGTCAAATATAGTTAAATTTTAGCGGCATAGTTTTAGGCACAGTTTGTTTTTTTTTTGACAAAGAGTCAAACTTCATTTAACCACTCTATTCTAACAAATCACAATAGTGCGCGGCTGAGTTTTGTGACCTTGTTAGAATAGGGGGGGGGGGGTTAATATTTCCAGCCTGAGCCGGCTCGGGTACAGAACTTTGAAACCAAACTCCACTTTCCCATACAAATTTTTTTTCGTACATATATTTACGGTGCGCTTAGATATGGTTTAACCCAAAAGTCCTTGCCTATTAAAATTTTCTTCAAACTCCCCGTTCTTTCGCAGTTTTTGCGAATGTTAAAAACACATAAAACAAATTATTTTAGCAGTATCAAATCAATCAATCAAATGAATATTTTCTGTGGGATGGTTTTGAGCTTACGTTGTAGGAAAAGTTACCCTATTAAAAATTAATGAAAATTCAGATCTCTATACTTTGATTGTGCATTGTAATCCACGTTAAGGCTCTTTCAGTGCAAAAAGAGGTAGTTTTTTATCCGAAATTTTGACAAAAATATTTCATTGACTCAAACAGTGATTGTGATTGTGATCTTGTTCGTAGGCCCTTTGATGCTGCCAGTTGCATAGAGTAGATTCTAAACTTTGCTTACTCAGCGCATTTTTTTTGTTATTACAGTTTTGTAAAGAGCACGTCATGGATCTGGAACATTGCCTTGAGTTAATGAAATAGTTTTAAATCCCTTTGAATTGGACTTTACACGTTAAAGTTATCTACTTAATTGATTTGAGCAAACTCAACGCAGCGATAAGCACTTCCATGAACCTGCAGATGTTCGTTTTTCGTCCATTTCATTCCTTTTTCTCATAGACTGAAAATTTCATTTACACGACCAACTAGAAGTGCATACGAGTTCAGTTGAGTGCACATTTAAACGAGCACTTTGTTTAACCACAACAGACGCACTAGACTAGATTGCCCAACTTTTAAATGGCCTTGCGCAATAAGATACATACATGAGAAGCTATGCCATGTAGGAATGTAGTTAACAAAGAGGAGAACTAAAAAAAAACAAGTAATTTTTAATTTAATATCACGCTAATTTTAGGCAAAGAGGGTTAAATTATAAGGCACTATAACCGGAAAGTAGTATTTACAGAGACCATTTTTCATCCGAACAGACTTACAGTGCAATTCTGGAAACTGGCTTTCAACTCACCACAGTATTTCGTCTTTCGTAACACAATTGTCAATTCCGGCAACTATCTTGAAAGCTCTTTACTGTCTGACTAACTGAAAGATCTGGTAACCAGGAGGTCTTAGTTAGTTATGCTGTTCGCTTATTATTAAAAAGTTTTCTAAAAATTAAATTAAATTAAAAAAATTATGTGAATTTATTTTTAGAACAGTAAAAATTAATAAATAATGGAAAAAATTAAATACAATGAAAATTAGCAAAAATTTATTTAAAATGTAATTAAACAATATGTGATTTTTAAATTAAATTAGAATAAAAAAATTATTAAAAAGACAAAAATAGTATGTACTTAAAAATAAAAAAAAATATATTTATTAAAAAATAAATAAGTACATTAATTAAAAAAAAAATAAAATAAATAAATATCTAAATATTAAATGATTGAAGAAACTATTTTTTTTTAACAAAATCTGAAAAATGAAAGAAAATTAAACTAAAAATTAAAAATGAAAAAATAAAATAATTGTCTAAAAATTAAATGTAATTAAAAAAACATAACCTTCTTTTTAAAAGAATAACATCAAAAAATTAAAAGAAATTTAAATTAGGGAAAAAATAATAAAAAAAGAAAAAATACATGAAATAAAAATTTTTTTTTTTTAATTTTAAAACAATAAAATTTAAAAATCTAAGGAACATTGTATTTAAAAAAAATTCCACGCGGCCATGGCGACTGTTGAAACGCCGCGGCTAAATAATATACAAGTGCTTTCTCTCAAAATAGAATTTCACCACTAATGGTGAATGAGAGAGCTTTTTTCTAAGGTTTTTTTTGCTAGAATAACAAAAGCCTTTCGAACTATCTTGCTAGCTGTCTTTCATTTGGCTTACGAAAGACTTTTTACTATCTTATTTTGTCGGAATTGCCCTGCAAATTTTCTCAATAGGGTTACATTAAAGCTTGTTAGCGATGTTGACCTCTTGTGTTTAACCTAAATAGCTTTTAAACAATGCAGCAAGAAGACCAAGTGCAAGTGCAATGCAATGATATGCAAACAAACGGCTGTAAAGTATTCTCAATAACTAAGTGTTTGCCATTTGCTAAGTAAGTTACCACTATTCCCACTATTTACGTCCATTGCCTCTTCGCCTGTGCCGAGTGCGCATTGTAATTGCCTTTGTATTAGGCATATGTTTGGTTCGATTTCGATTGCAGTCGATATTACAATACTTACAAACGTGCATATGCAAGTAGTTAAATTTCGACCTTTATGTAAACAAATTTTGTTTACGAGGGTTGAGTGATTCTTCAAGAAATTTAAATCAATTCAGAGAGCCTTAATAATTACAGCATCCATATTTTATCATGAAAAGGCAACTAAATACTTGTCTAATCTGTCGAAGAAACCGTGCATCTAAAATCAGTCTGGAGTTTACCAAATTGCGAAGATAGGTGTCGAAGGAAAAGTGAAAATTTTCATTGTTGCACACTCTGGGTACACTTCTTTACGACACTACATCAAAATGCTAAGAAACCTCTTTTCGCAATTTGGCAAAATTTTAGACCCATTCTTTCTTCGGAAAATTTGCTTGAAATTATACATAGAATCCTCCTATGCGATACGCGTATAGTCGAAAAAATCTTTCATACAAATTGACCCGCCCTAATGTATGTGTTTATATCTAAATATTATTACTATATTATTAATAAAATTTGTTCAAAAAGAGTTTTTACTCGTAAAAAATATAGTACGCACCATCTCACTCTCCACTCGGCGCATTTTAATAAGACCGCTCATTTACAATAGCGCTGGAAGTTGCACACACAATTTTACGCGGTTTTAATGCACAGCAGCTGCGTTGCAGTGTCCTTGCTGTGCAACAGGATAATAAAATAATAAACTTATCGTATTACAGCGACAGCAATGAACAGCAATCGCTGCTGGCTACTGGCTCGTGCCCGACCACAGTCATATAGTCACTCACAGGTTTCCCGCCATAAAAACTATGCAGCAACGTACGGCGCGAATCTTGGTGGTGCTGTGGCACGCTTAACCGCACCTAGCAGACGATGTTCATAAATACATACATATATTTGTACGTACTTAGTTACATACATATGCATATCGATGTACTTTTATGTCGAAAGACACAAGGTACTTATTAATATACTATGTAAATATGTATGTATGTATGTATAATATGCATTCGCACAAGATTCTTATCCACTTTTACGTGGTCGTAAATCTCTTGGTGGCGTTGTGTGCTGTGCGGTCTTCTGCATCGGAAAGCGCTCCTTGCCCGGCCACTTTGCTCCTATTTATCAACAGTAGTGTAAGAAGCTCGAGCAACATTATGCATGGATGCTAAATTTTAAAGTTTCAAAAGCAATTCATACAATTTTTACGCAAATGAGTAGGATTTAAAATTTCAGAATTATATATTTCTCTGATAAATTACTGGGAATTGCGGTGGGAAAATTGAAAAAAGTGCTCTTTATTTGCTCTTCTTCTTCTTTAGTTTGTGGTACGTGCCCTAATTTTGTGACCCAATCGCAGGAATCAGCATTTTCTATGAGCTCGGACCAGGAATCTGATCTGAGGCCAACCTCCCTTGAAGACACGGCTACAGCAGCAAATGAATAGCAAGAAAATTACTTGCTAACACTTACCCAATACTGTAGATTTGTGCTTTTCTGTTTGTACAGTGACTCAAACAAATGACCACGTGTTTATTTTTTTTTAATACTCGTAATGGTTTACGAGCTAAATTTCTCTTTTATTTTTCTATAAAAATACCGTAGAAGCTTTAACCAAAAAGGAATAAAACAAAATAAAAACAAAAAATGTTCATAAAAATTTTAAACATTTTATTCAGGATTTCTAGAAAATTTTCAAGTATGCAGTTTTGTAGCCCATTCAATTTTAGTGTGATGTAGTGCAAGTAGCAAACGGCTGAAAGTCCCGTTGATGTTTGAGAATTTTTTTTTTGCAGACTGCTTTTGCGGTTTTATTTTATATAACAAGGGCAATTTACAAAAACGGTCTCCCGAATTTTATTTCATAAGAAATTCATGCTCATGTGAAAAAAGTGCAAAAATTCGTCACAAAAAAAAAAATGTTCTTGAAACTCAACCGGATTTTTAGCCGTTTGAAACTGGGACTTCATCAGACTAAAATTGTATGGGCTATAAAACTGGATACCCAAAAATGTTCTGAAAATTCAGATTAAAAACTTGACATTTTGATGAAAATTGGTTGAATTTTCCTAAAGTTTGAAACTGGGATTTATATGCTTTTCGTTAAAGCTTGGGCGGCATTTTTATAGAAAAATAACAAAAAAAAAAAATAAAAAATTTAGCTCAAAAAACATTACGACCATTAAAGAAATGAACACGAGGTTATTTGTTTGAGGCACAGTATATTGCCCGGTGTGTGCGAGCGAGCGCGTTGAAGCGACGCGTCGCATAAAACATTTGATATGTTAATTGGTTATTGTATGTGGGGGAATTTCATATCTTGATTAGAATGCTGT